GCAACAGGGTAAGTGAAGAACAAAGATCAGCTCTCTTTCAGAAGACAACGGCATATTCAATGGCGTCGAATGTATCTCATGTTGAAAGATTTTGGAAGTCCCTCCAAGACAACAATTCAGATCCAGCCAGAGTCCTTAAGTGCAAGAATATATGATATGTGTGGTTATGTGGGCAGCCTGTCGAGTCTAGAGCCTCAAAAAGAACACATTAACAAGAACATTGCAAATCTCCTGCCTTCTCCAGCTCTGTCTTCACCTCCGTCATCCTCACCTTGTGATCTCCAACATGGAGGTAGAAATTCTGAGCCTTGGCCTGGACAGGCTGGCTGCCTGCGTGGATGGAAATTTGTCCGCTCATGCGGAGTTGAGACATCAGGAACTGCGAGGCTTTGTGCCTCCTGCAAACACTGCTCACGGCAAGAATGACATCACGGAGCTCAGGCAACTCTGCTAGGTCAGTGCATGCTGGCGCCATCACATCCAAGACTTCCTCAACACTGGTCTCAGGAATGTACACATCGAAGCCCTGCCACAGGGAAAGTGAAGAACAAAGATCAGCTCTCTTTCAGAAGACAACGGCATATTCAATGGCGTCGAATGTATCTCATTTTGAAAGATTTTGGAAATCCCTGCAAGACAAACAATTCAGATCCAGCCAGAGTGTTTCAAAGTTGGGCCCTGCCCTACTGCAAGAATATATGATATGTGTGGTTGTGTGGGCAGCCTGTCCACCACAGAGCCTCAAAAACAACACAGTAGCAAAAACACTGCAAATCTCCTGCCTTCTCCAGCTCTGTCTTCACCTCCGTCATCCTCACCTTGTGATCTCCAACATGGAGGTAGAAATTCTGAGCCTTGGCCTGGACAGGCTGGCTGCCTGCGTGGATGGAAATCTGCCCGCTCATGCGGAGTTGAGACATCAGGAACTGCGAGGCTTTGTGCTTCCTGCAAGCACTGCTCACGGCAAGAATGACATCACGGAGCTCAGGCAACTCTGCTAGGTCAGTGCACGCTGACGTCATCACACCCAAGACTTCCTCAACACTGGTCTCAGGAATGTACACATCGAAGCCCTGCAACAGGGTAAGTGAAGAACAAAGATCAGCTCTCTTTCAGAAGACAACGGCATATTCAATGGCGTCGGATGTATCTCATGTTGAAAGACTTTGGAAGTCCCTGCAAGAGAAACAATTCAGATCCAGCCAGAGTCTTTCAAAGTTGGGCCCTGCCCTACTGCCAGAATATATATATATATATTTATTTAAATGATATGTGTGGTTATGTGGGCAGCCTGTCCACCACAGAGCCTCAAAAAGAATACATTAACAAGAACATTACAAATCTCCTGCCTTCTCCAGCTGTGTCTTCACCTCCGTCATCCTCACCTTGTGATCTCCAACATGAAGGTAGAAATTCTGAGCCTGGGCCTGGACAGGCTGGCTGCCTGCATGAATGGAAGCCTGCCCGCTCATGCGGAGTTGTGACATCAGGAACTGCGAGGCTTTGTG